CGGTGCTTCTTGCCCGCACTACATTTCGCATGCGTTCAAACTGTCGTCTGCTTTTTCAAACTTGTCTTCTTTTTGTCGTCAGCGCGTTCAAACAACAGCGGCCCGTAAACCAAATCTTGACCCGGTAATTGCGATAAGAACTAAGTGCAGGCCTCAAAACACTTTTGAAGGTTGGTTGGGGTAAGTAGGCTAAGTGTAAACAGTAGATACAAGATGTTGATCATTGTTACCAGTGGCCATCACCGATTTGTAATGCCCGATTCTACTTGCGGTTTTCAGTATCGACGTCCACCACCTCAGCTACGGTCCACGCTTTTGCAGCCCGAGCGACGTCGCGACTGAAAATATCGAGCAGAATCTCAACGTGGGAGTCAGGCTTTAGCGCCCATTCTGCGGCGTCCATGTGAAATGAATCGCCGCAAGTCACATTATTCACGCAAAGTTTTGCCTTGTTAATTTTGCTGAAGCCGCTCAAGTAGTCAGACATTGTTAGGAGGACGTAAAATCAACAATTCCAACGCGAAAAAGAGCACGGGAACTCCCACCGACGCCGAAAACAACGCAATGCAATGGTTTGTTTATGGGCGACGGCGGGCTTCTTGCCCACCGTCCACCGCGCATGCACGGCGCCGGTGGCGTCCGCTAGGGGCGCTCCGGTTTGTTTGTAAACATGAGTTGGTGTATATCGAAGGCCAGATGGGACGTGAGCGCCTATTCAGCTTTTGACTGGTAACTAAACTCAAAAGTCCTATTTTGGGAGATTTACGTACCGAATTGACGAAGGACACCTGGCAGGCCCCAGCGGTGGACTGAGGATTCGTATCGACCACCTGGGAAAGATCTCTCTGACGGGCGACTGAAATTTCGGTTGCACGTCTCGTTCTCCGCAGCGAGCATCCGTCAGATTGCGGGCACCTCGGCAGGGAATCGAAACCCGCCACCTGGGGCACAGATCTGCGCGAGCTAGTTGCCTTGTTTGAAGGCGTTCGAACACCGGCATTCGGCTTTCGCGTTCGAACAGTGATTAGAGACCCACAAATCGTTCCAAACAGAGCCCGCGGTGCCTGACGTCCCCGCTTCTTTTTCTTTTCTTTTTTTTTTTCTTTTTCCAATCTAGTATGACCAAGATGTGCCCAAAAACGTTCCTCAATATATTGGCAGAGTAGAAGATCGGTAATAGTATTAGCCTTGAGCAGCGAGTCCGCTTGTTAAAGGTGACATCAGCGATATCTCTGAAACTCGGGGAGAAAAATGAAAACCAAGATGTTTTAGATCATTATTTAAATTGCGAATTAAATCAGACGCCTTGCGCTAAAATTATTTAAATCAAACCTTTCCCGAAAAAAATGATCCCGGAAATATTTTTATTTGCCATTTAGCTATCAGTTGTTGCTTTCGTTCCATGTGCATCAATTCAAATTTACCTAAAATAATCCTCCACGAATAAACATTTACATCAGGCTGTACATGACCAAAAACCAATGCTCTTCTGATTGTTCGTCCGTTACGTAAAGAAAATCATAACGCGCCGACGAAAAACGAAGGCTAGGAAAGTATGTTCATATTGCAAGCCAAACAGAACGTGAACGAGAAAGCAAATTTAGCCGTTTAACTAACTTTACAAAACAAGACATGACACAACTAGAACACTGGAAGCAAAAACGACTCGCACACACAGTATTTTATGTCTAAAATAAAACAAGTGTTTTGTTTTGTTCTAATATGGCGGCTCTGCACCGATAAAGTTTTGTTCATGCAGCTACTTTCTTCTGCAAAATGTTCAGTTATCGTACGGATTGGCCAACGTTTAAAAATACATCTTGCGATAAAGCATTACATATTTTGAGCTACTGTGATTTAAATATAAATAAATCTGATCAAACAAATATGACTTAAATCAAATGCAGTTGAAGTTAAAAAGAAAGGAATTCTCTTTTTACTATTATGTTATTGTGGACGTAAAGGAAGAAAAATGGAAGAGAGACAATCGTGCATTCGCTCGGGGCAAATCCGCCAGTGACTCTTCGGAAGAGGGGGGGGGGGGGGGGGGGGGGGGGGGGGAACTGCAGTCTTAATTGAGGAGAACGACTGCGACTGTATGTGGGACAGAGCTCGTTTTCCGTTTCGTGCACTTATCGCTAAACGGAGGAAGCGAAACACTGCATCCTCTTTAGTTATTGCCTCAAATGCGGATCAAGTGTCGTAATTATACTCAAACCAAAAGGTCATCGAGCGCTCCAATATGATTTTTTTTTTTTGACACACGAATTGGTTTTTTTATACACCGGCCGGTGGGCTGCTTTATCTATATATATATATATATATATATATTTTTTTTTTTGTTTCTTAATATTTGAAAATTGCAGATGTTGCAAGCCAAACAGCGAGCAAGTGCTCCAAAATGCGTCTTCTTCAATTTTTCGCGATATTGTTTCGAATCGCAAAATTTCCGAAGCTTAAATTTTCGCAAAATTAAGTCGTTGCCAGTATTAAAAAAAATGTTCTGGTTCTGAAAGACGCGTTTTTATGAAGTATACACTGCGCGACACTGTTAATGCAAACACGACCTCCAAGCTTTCTTCTTTTTTTTTTTTTTTCGGGCACCGATCTTTCCCATCACCGAATATGTACTTTCGAACAGTAGCTGGAGTGAGTACTTTGCACCTCGCTGGTAGTTCCAACGGCAGCAGTTCAAGTCAAGAAGAAAAAAAAATCTCAAGAAATATCGGCGGCCACTTTTTTGCGCAACGGTGTCGCCCTACGCAAGTACATTATTTATATTTCCGGAACTCTATTTTCATGGTTGTTGACGGTGACGGGAAATCAAACAGGTGAAGCAATATCTCTGTTATCAAATCTATCCCTTGATTTTCATTTACATGATAAAGCCTACCGCAAGTAGACAAGGGACGTTCCCTCACTGGCAGGCCGGGCAGCCTTGCCGGCGACTGGCCACACTCCTCTAACACCTCTTATAGATAACCAGGCCGTGCTGCTGGATTTCCTACGCCACGTGGAAGAGGCCAGCCTGGAGCACACATTAGACACGAGTGCTGCATCAAGATTCGGCCGGGACTCGCTTTCAATCAGTGAGGACATCGATTAGAGCCAAACAACACCGGCGTACCAGTCTTGTTCCACCTGTGCCCCGTGCAGGCCTCCAATAAGTGACGTAGGGAACCCAGCACTACGGCCTTGGACCCGTCGAGTCCAGTGCATCTTATAGTTGCTCCGCAGCCAATCGCGGTAATAGAACGCCCAAGGACCAATCGGAAAGCTGTCAGGGACTATGGATGATGACAAGGCCTGCCTTCTCTCTCTCATGACGTCACACTATGGGTTAGATAACGGGTGGCGCGGCTGTCGATTCGCTCCCTTTCTTTCACTTGTAATCATATTTGCAGGGAAACTCGGCAAGTGAAACGTTATGCTCAGTGTAGCGAACAGGTTGCTTTTCTTTTTATAAAATCGTTAAGAACTAGCGGTGCGCGAAAAGTGGTTTGAGTCGAAAAGCGAAGTGTCATTGCTGTAAAGAGAGCCGGCCTGCCTTGCACTGCAAAAGTTACGAATTAAAGTTCCTAGATAAGAGCTTCCTCCAAGTAACAAGATTGTTTGAAGCGCCGACTGAGTGACGGTGCAGGTTTAGGAAGCAAATGGCGGCGCACAGCAAAGTACTGAGCTGAATGATGCCATATTGTTCCAGCGGAATATGCTTTGTCATTTGTATTGCTTGTCGTTACTTGTAAAAAGAAGTATTAAGGGACTTTACTACGAATGACTCGATGCTAGTCGATTTTAACCACAATTCGCACACACCTAATAAAAACGACGGACGAGTAAGAGAATTAGTGCGCTTTTGTGGTGTTCGTCGTTTTGGGCGCGTCTGTCCTCTACCCACAAAACAAAATGCGTATTGTTTAGGCCATGGAATTGTAAAGCCTCGTCATCTTCTTTAGAGATTGCAAAATCTATTAAAATTCTTCCTGTCATTTTTAATGAATCACTTTCTTGGACTTTTAAACACGTTCAGTATATCCATCGAATAATTTTCAAAGCGATAGGAATAATATCTAAAACTCGTTTTATGTTTCCGCGCGTGTGAAGTTGCTCTTGTATTATTTTCTGATCTGCACACCTTACGTGTATTGCCCCCGGTTTGGGCAAAGGCAACGAGACAAAACTTAACAACACTACTTCTAACAAAGAAGAAAGTATTTCGCATAATTGGAAATGTTTCTTTTTGGCATTCTTTTGATGAGCTTATTCGAAAACATAAAGTTGTGCCAATTAATCCTATATACAAACAAGTATCATTTGATGGGAGTCTACAATACGGCAGTAAAAGAAAATAGCAAATTTTTGTTGTTATTTTCAAACAAACCAGACGTACGAAACTAGACATAGCAAGAACTGGTGATTGACCCCTAAAATATACACCACCGTCGCTTTTAAATAGGCACGAACATGACAATATTCCTCACGGTTTTCTACAGAAAAGCAAACCTACAGACTTTCGCTTTCAGTGGTGTTCTACCGTTTTCTTGGTATATTTTGCATGCGGTGTAGCGTGCCACTAACCTCGGGGCCCCCTGCTGGCACCAAATGACGTCACGACCCACCTCCCCTTTGGGCGTCGTTGTGTCGTGATTACGTCTTGAATCACCGTCGGCCCCCACAGCAGCAGCAGTCGCGCTCGGCCACCGCCAGAGGCGACACCAGTCGACAAACGGGTTTCGCGTCGCCGCCGCCGCGTACACCATCTGGGACGCGTCGCGCGCACCTTGAAGACAAGGCCCGTTGAAGACGTCATCGCTAGCCCTACATCGCCACAAAAGCGGCGGACGCGTACGCCTCCGCGTCTCCGTCCGCTAGCGTCGCGTTCGTTGTGGGACGCACAGTGACGCGAACGCGGTGACGCGGACGCGAGCCCGGCGACGCCACGGTGGCCCACAAGCGATGACGTCAGAGGAGGAAAGGCGGCGCGCGCTTCTCGTCTTCTGGGCGGTTTTTTACGCGTCGACGCGTCCCACTCGGATGCCCCTCTCGCGCACTCTGCGTCCGCTCACCGTTCGACATGCATCCCGTGCGCGCTGCTCGCGTCGTCTGCTGTCTCGTCCTGGCCTCGGCGTGCTTGGTGATCGCGCAAGACGACGGCACCGACAATGCCACGGGTGAGCATACTTGTCTCGATGACGTCACGACCGGAACCGACCAGACCCTCGGCTTAATTCATCTCTAGGATGACATCTGGTTGAGTCAGGCGCTTTCGTTTCTGCTCGGCTCCGGGCAAATCCCACCGCTATCTTCAGGAGGGTCAGAGCGAAGAGTCCGGGAAAGTTCACGTATCGCACTCGACAGTGAACATAAAGAAAGGTTCTGGAACTTGGGGCCTAATCAAAAATATGCGAAAGAAAACGAGGTTGTTTACCTTGAAAGTGGATATATTGTTTCGGCGGCGTAGCGGACTAGATACAGATCATCTGATTGGCTGGCCGCGTAGCCCCCGCTGTTTCCAGTAGGGTCGACTGGCACCAGAATCGGTGCTAGCTGTAGTCTTCGCATGTGGGTTTGGACATGATGACAGGGTTATCTGCGAACGGGCCTCAACGGGTGTTTTGAGTATGTTTGCTTTACACGTATGTATACTTCAAAGCATCTCTGCAGACAGTTTTTGTGTGACCAATGTGACAGCCATGCAAGAAAGAAACACGTATCAGACAGTGTCTACACACTGCCTTGTATACGGTGCATTAGCCGTGCGACAACGACTTTAGAAGGTCTTTCTTTTAGGGTGTCTTAAGAGATTTGGCTGCAATGAGATATTTGGCTGCAATCGTTAAAGCAATAGGGGGTTCAACAATCTCGAAAAAAAGGTACCAAACAAATTGTTACAACGGCGGAATATGCCTATAAGTCTATCGGGTGTTTTGTTATGTCGAGTCGGGTGTAATGGTTTAGCAATTCTGTCATACAAGAAGGTGACTCTGTTTTAAGATTGGTGCGCCATCTATTTAATACTGAGCGTTTTCTAGACAAATCTTGCTAGCTTATGAATGATTGGGATGGTTGACGCTCGTTGACAGGTAGTCGTATTCAACTTTGCCTGAAACAACCCAAAAGAGGAAGATCAAAGAGCCTAGAAAATCGATCCCCATACGTACCCCCCTGACTTTATTATCATGTTGTTGTATGTATTTTCTTTTTCGTCCAGTAACAATTGGTCAGACTTGAAAACTTCCGTTGCCAATTAGTTGGCAACAAGGTTATGTTGATGCGACTGATGCAATAACAATAAAGAAACACTTATTTTCTAAATATTTTTTTCTAAAATAGCACTTGTTTGCAAGCATATCATCCCAATCCCCGTTCTTTTCTTCTTTTTTTTTTTTTAAGCAAACAAAAAAGAAAAAGAAAGAGAGATGGATTAAGAAATTATTATACCGGTTATTGCGAAACACCGATTACAGGGACAAAGGTCGCATTCTGTTTTCAACCACAACACGCTTTCCCTCCACAAGTAACGTCAACTTCGGGGATTGTGAGAGTCCGCAAATAAGATAAAACTCCGGCTATTAGGAGGCAAACCCAGTGTCATTAGTATGCCGACGGAGTATTGATAAGAGGCGCTGGCCTTGATGCTCAGGTGGGCTTTTCCTCTTTGGAGGTCTTCTTCTTTTTCACTTTCTCGCCAGTTCGCGGGGGTCCAGGAGCCGGAGACTGGTCGTACCAGCGTCCGGGAAGTTTGTCATTTTTTGTCCCTGCCAAGCACTGTGCGAGGGAGCGTTTCCCAAGCGGCGGTTTTTGTTCACGCACCAAAGGCCCACGAGCGAGCGGCCGGAATGCGCAGATTCCTTCGTTTCTTCGAGGCACGGCTGATGGGACAGTGCTCTCGTGCCTGCAGATGCTGCCGGCGGACACCAAGGCCGGCTAGCCAGAAAGAATCGGCGCCTTAGCCAAGACTCGCTGTATAGAAATTCCGAAGAAGCTAAGCTTTTGGTTTCGAGGCTAGATGGCGCAAGTTACCGCCCGTTGTAATGGGCAGGGCCATTAGCGTATACATTCATCCATTCAGGATCGGCGCTCCGTTTCGTCCGATTTTCTTGTGAGCACCGCAATTTTGGCGCTTCGTGCAGAGACTCCCTGAGCTCGCAAGATATAGTTTTGCTCTGTCTCAGATTGTTTTGACGTTTCTGGGGTGCGGAAAAGCGCCTGCGATTTCAGATAAAGCTTTAGATAACTGGCAAAGAGAATTTTAAACACAAAGATGGCTGAACCTTTGGTACTAAACAGCCTTAATAAAAAAAAAAAAAAAAAAAAAAAAAGCTTGTTTAGCCATGGGGCGAGTCAGAGCTTCAGGGGTATTAGTGGCCGAGTGTGCTAGCTCACCGCGCAGCTCGGAGCGCGTGGAGCGAAAGCGTGCGTTGCAGATACCACAGATCCTGGATCAAATCTCCAGCCCTGCCCGTTCCTATCTTGATGAGCATCGTTCAGGCGTGACTGAATTTTCCATCTACAGCTGAGAGACCAGACAACCGTGAAGAGGGGGGGGGGGGGGGGGGGAGGGGCTGGGCTGGGCTGGGCTGGGCTGGGCTGGGCTGACTAATTTCCGGCTGTTCAGTCTGAAGCAAGAGCTTCAGACTGAACTTAATCTGGTCGCGTGCTAGCTTTGGCAGGGCTTCCCTTGGCGCGTTCTAATCTAAGACCCTAGCAAGCCGTCCCTGGCATCTAAATGGCCTGTGTCCAATCACATGCAGCGTGTAAACTGTGCGACACAGCTTGAACTGGCGCGAACAAGACATCTGCGCTTTTTTTCCTTTTACTTGCGGAGGTCAGAGCCGAACGACATAGAACATAAAACGGTTCGGATATATACAGCAAATGCGACAGTGCAAATGAATAACTTTCGCTGACCTTCCCACCGCGAACGCGTTCGTACTGTAGATGGACGTTCTGAAAAAGTTAGCTTCTAATATTTTTTGCGATATTATCAATTTGAAGAATAACATCTACACGAGCTCTCCTACAGATGAAGCACCCGTTTAAACGTAAACTACGAGGATGTCCCTACGGAAGGGGCCAGCTGTGCTGGAGACGATGATGGGAAGCTTGAAGCGGCTGCTGATGTTTATTTCTTTAAAAAAAAAACACACACACACACACACACACACACAAATTTTTGTTTTTTCAGCTTGGTGAAGAAGGAAGAGCAGCGGAGCTCTACTATGTGCCGCCATCGCTCATAGATGGCGGTAGCTGTCCAGAGAGTTGTGTCGAGATTCATTTGTCCACGGATACAAAACTGGGGAAACTCGCTCCGCTGTAAAAAGTTGTCCAGTTGACTCGCTTGCTTGAACTCATTTTCACAACACTCACAGGACCAGGGGTTTCTCCAGGAATTGAAATTGGGGCGGGGGGGGGGGGGGGGGCATTGAGAATAGAGGAGTCGTTGCGAATTAAGGGGGTGCCTTCAGAAAAATAAGGGGGGGGGGGCGTGCAATAAGTAGGGTGTGTGTAGAGAAATCACTGCACAGGGCACAAATGCGCCCGGAACAGGAACTTAAAATAATTTTTCAAGCACATTAAACAATGCTGAAGTCGGTTCTTGCACTGAACTGAGTAGATATGTTATCGGCAACGGAGCCTTCATGGTCATCCCTATGCGTTCTGCTCTCGGAGAAACGAGGTGACCAGAGCATACCCCTCTTTCGCCCCTCCCCCTCCCCCTTTTCCAAAGAAAAAGCAACTGCTGCAGAGTATGCTCAGACTGTCACTTTCACTTTTTGTTTTTCGTATTTTCCTGCAAGAACGGTTTTCTTTTCCTTCTTTCTTGAAGTTCTGCAGGAGCACCATAGCTTTGTGCTTATTTATCTATTTATTTGCTGTATAAAAATTGTTGTTCTGTTGCGTTGTGCCGGGCTGGTGCAGTCCTTGAAGCTCACTGAAAAGGGGCGTGGGATGAAGAATTCTCGTGAATTGGAAAAGGGGGCGAAGGCTACGGCTTGAGCCAGCCAATCAGAGAGTTTAAAAACGACACGTCTGACAATGTAATGTCTGAATGTGCCCTCCCTTGTGCCCACTCAGATTGGTTCACCGGCGCCGTAACTTATGCCTTTTGTCAAGTGAAGTTGTGACTGAATAGAGACGAGGAAACTGCGCATGACGCCCACAATTTCGGGGTGAGGTAATCTGCGTCTCTGGATGCCGAGGTCGGGTTTTTAAGCATTTGTCCTTTTGCAATGCCGTGCGCCAAGCCCCCCGCTTTCTGCGAGCTTGCGGAATTCGGGCACTAATCCGGTTCTGTTTGGGGATAACATTCGAGCGAGTCAAACATAAGTCTCCCGTCCTGTTCTCGTTGTCTTTAGAGTTTGAGTCAAAGCGTCTAGACTCTAAACCCGTAAGATTGACTGGTTTCGAAGAGGCTGTGAGCCGAGGAATGGAAGGAATAGCAAGCGCCCGAAAAAGAAAGCAGCGGCGGGGGGGGGGGGGGAGGGGAGGGGTGTACTACAACGTGAACACCCCCCCTAGCTACGCGCCTGCAAGGCACCGAGCAAGTTTAAAGGCCGACGTACAAGTTTGGTTACGCTCCCCTCTTCTAAGCTGCGAGGGGAGCCAAGCTTGGGCAAGGTAAGAAGTAGAGAGGAAATAAGAAAGAAGGAGGCCGGGAGAAGGGGAAAGCGCGAAGTGTACGTTGGCCTTTAATCGCGTGCTGACAGCGACCGTTCGCCAGATTCCTTTCTCACCATCAAAGCTGTTATTCATGGCAGACGATAAGTGACCCTACCCACATATCGTGAGAATGCAGTCGAAGCCCCCAACCCGCGCTCGGTGTCTCCGTCGTGCTCTGGATCACAAGATGTCAAAAGATTATAAAAGGTGAAAAGCTTACGCTGGGAGGCAGAGTTTCGACTGCATTCTGAATCTGCCAGCAGCTACTGCCTCAGGGCAGTGACTAAGCATCGGGCGACTGCTTGTCCGCGCGTCCCGTAGCCAAAAGCGGCAACTTTGGGAAGTAGCCACCGAGCGATTGGACCCGAGCGCTGCGTCACATTTCGGAAACGCGCTCGGACATTCGAGCTCGAGATTGGGTCCAATGACTGCCGAAGCGGGCCGTCTCAGAGTTGCTGAAATTCCCCGTAAGATGGCGCCACCTGTCAAACCAAACTTTATTGCC